ATTGCATCAGTTTTGCATACAACGGACAGCTGAGCACCTGTTCAAAATGCTCACACTTGTATATGATTTGTAGAGATGGAAAAATGTTGATTATTTCTTGTCTTAAAAGAGAATAAATTTCCTTTGAGACATGACGCCACAGTGGTAAAATGTATTCCATTGTCTCCAGAATGCAGTCTTGCTTAGATTCGTAAGAATACATGGAAAAAAGAAAAACATACTTTCAGAAACAGTGTGATAGTTTTTTTATTTTTGTATTCATTTCTTAGATTATTTTTCTTTCCCAGTTATGAAGAAAACTTTATCAAATATGATAAATTTGAATTATATTCTATCTGCCAAGCATAACTATAACTAGAATGTCACTGTTTTCTAAAATCCTACGTACTTACTTAGTAGAAATCAGAGATTAGCTTTATTTTTTGGTCACATACAATTTGTTACAATGCCCAGGAGGTTACTGTGAGTTTCTATAAAAGTGTGATCTGTAATTTTTATCAGAGTTGTCCAGTTAGTACATACATACTATGTTGACACATCTATTCATACCCTGATGGCTTGATGGCTTATTTAACAAAGGGCTACTGTAGTCCCTAGGGAGTCATTAGAATTTCAAAAACAGTCGTACTTTGACCAAAGTGTAAACTAATACAATTAAGCATTTCTTTTTAAGTTGAATAGGGTTTATCATTACTAATGAAGAAAAGAGCCCTCAATTAAAAATACATTAGTCAGAGAGCAGAGATGTCAACACGGGAATAATTCAGTAAATAGGAATGCCTGCTGTGTGCCAGATACTCTGCTAAGATGCAGCTACCTGTCTTTCCAAGGCGCTTACAAAAAGTTCTGGCAGTTTGTAAAAGGTACCATGGAGATGAGAGGAAGGAGGGGCTGATTCCCAATGTCATGCAGCAGGAGATGCTCATGAGGGATGGACATCAGCCTTAAGATTCAGGAGTCAGCACAGGCAGACCTGGGTCCTGCCCCTCACGGGTGATGAGATCTTGGGCAAATGACTTAATCTTTCCGAGACCCAGTTACTTTATTGATCATAATTTATATCTACCCTTCCTGGGTATTATGAGGATTCAATGATACAAAATATGTAAAGTGCATTGCCAATATGACAGTTCATAAAAATTCTCCTTACTCGTAGTCATGTCCTGTTTAGTATCTGCAATATTTGGACATGTGCTAACCTGAAATTTACTCATATTTTCATATGCTAGGGAGTTCTCTGATTACTTGATTCATTTTTCATACAATTTTAGTATACATATCCTGGTATACTTTTTCCCCCTTGTAAACCTACTTCATGTAGCTCCATAACATTCATCCTTGTTTTCTCCAAAGAATAACTGTTGGCTTAAAAGACCATGCCTACCAAGGAAAAAGACACACTGTAATTTGTTCTTCAAAGACATTGGGAAAGTAATAATTCCGGCCTACTCAGCACTAGGGGCAGAAATCAGAAGAATTACATTTCAATGTAGGCTTAACATTGAAGGGACTTGGTGCATTACTTCTGATATAGGAATAGGTATAAATTCTTTTCTTTTTTTTTTGAGACAGAGTCTCACTCAGTCACCCAGGGGGTGAGTGCTGTAGTGTCCTAGCTCATGGCAACGTCAAACACTTGGACTCAAGTGATTCTCTTGCCTCAGCCTCCCTAGTAACCAGGATTATAGGCTCCTGTCACAATGCCCAGCTATTTTTTTTTTTTTTTAGAGATGAGATCTCACTCTTACTCAGGATGGTTTCAAACTCCTGAGCTCAAGCAATCCACCCACCTCAACCTCCCAGAGTGCTAGGATTATAGGCATGAGCCACTGTGCCCAGCTAAATTCTTGATTGGTTAATCCTTCAGGCTCTATTAGGACTCGGCAGTTGAGTCCTTTCCTCAAGTTGTTGCTTTTTTTTGAGTTACTAAATATGAATTGGAATCTTGAATTGTAGTCAGGACATTTGACCCAACCAACTCTTAAAGTGTCTTATCCCTACCCACATCCTACCTGCTTCCTGGGGGCTGGATATCCAGTGTGGAAAATCAAACAAGGTTGTTCCATTCTCCTGCTTCTGCCAAGAAAGTTTTGCTTTTAGAATGCCTTCAGATGGTGTGGAGTAAGGGAAGGTCCTTTGAGAGAATGTATGAGAAAATACTGATGCATATGAAAGATCACATGCTAGGGTGCTCAGATAACTTCTTAGTAAGCATAAGACTGTCCTACTTCACTGTAACATAAAAGCAATTTTTAAAGTGTGTGTGTAGCAGATAATTTTGACAATACCCTGTTCTTTTCAGAGTGTGTGTGTGTGTGCACAAACACATAGGCATACCTTGAGGTGGTTTTCACAACAAACCTGTGGGTTTAGAAAAGTGTCTTTTGGTTATACCTAATAAAAAAATCCACATATTCCTCCAACATGTTTTTTTTTTTAGAGACAGAGTCTCACTTTCTTGCCCTTGGTAGAGTGCTGTGGCATCACAGCTCACAGCAACCTCTAGCTCCTGGGCTTAGGTGATTCTCCTGCCTCAGCCTCCCAAGCAGCTGGGACTACAGGTGCCTACCACAACACCAGGCTATTTTTTTGTTGCAGTTCAGCCGGGGCCGGGTTTGAACCCACCACCCTCGGTATATGAGGCTGGCACCCTACTCACTGAGCCACAGGTGCCGCCCCCTCTAACATATTTTTAATATCTCTGGGTACCAGGTCCTCTGCTGGATGGTAGAAGTTAGCAATAAAGGAGTAAAGTTATATATACGGTATATTTTTTCTAATCCATTTTTATATTGTAGCATCCATAGATCAATTGATCTTTCTCTCTCTCTCTCTCACACAGACACACAATTTGACATAAGTTTTAACATTATACTATGTGCAGTTCTAAAAATGGCTTTTTTAAAACTCAACCATGTTTTTTAATTTTAGTGTCTTTTAACACGTAGCTGTTTTATTTTTATTTTGGTTGTATCAAATGTTGTATTCCATCATATAAAAACAGTCATATTTTGCTTATCCGTTCTCATGCTAATGGGCATTCAATTTGATACTATTTTATGGGGGTTTTTTTGTTTGTTTTTTGTTTTTGAGACACAAGTCTCAAGCTGTCCCCCTGGGTGGAGTGCCGTGACATCACAGCTCACAGCAACCTCCAACTCCTGGGCTCAAGCGAGTCTCCTGCCTTAGCCTCCCAGGTAGCTGGGACCACAGGCGCCCACCATAATGCCCAGCTATTTTTTGGTTGCAGCCATCATTGTTGTTTGGCGGGCCTGGGTTGGATTCGAACCCGCCACCTTGGGTGTACATGGCTGGTGCCTTAGCCACTTGAGCCACAGGCGCCGAGCCTTTTAATGGTTTTATAAATAGCACTGCCATGAACATCTTTGGACAGAGCCCTTTATAAGACTGTGTCTCTACAGTGGATGCCTCACAGTGGGTTGGAGAGTATGGGCATATTCCCTCTTTTTTTTTTTTTTGAGACAGAGACTTACTATGTCACCCACAGTAGAGTGCTGTAGTGTCACAGTTCACAGCAGTCTCCAACTGTTAAACCAACTCTTAGGCTTAAGCAATTCCCTTGCCTCAGCCTCCCAAGCAGGTGGGACTACAGGCGCCCACCACAACGCCCACCTGTTTTTTGGTTGCAGTTGTCATTGTTGTTTGGCAGGCCTGTGCTGGGTTCGAACCCACCAGCTCTGGTGTATGTGGCTGGCAGCCTAGCCACTGAGCTATAGGCGCCGAGCTGCATATTTTCTTTACAGATGCTGTCAGGTTTTCTATCATAATGGCTCTATTCATTTATTCTCCTACCTGCAGTTTATGAAAATACCTTTGTCATCAATCCAACAATATTTGATATTGTAAAAATTTTATTTTTTGCCAGCCTAGTGGTTGAAAATATTATTCCTTATTTTGTGTTGACACACTTTTAGGAGTCCCAGTCCACAATCGTGATATATGATGGTATAATAAGAAACTTCTAAAATCAGACCCAATGTGGCATAACAGAAAAACATGAAACCCAAAGCTTACATTATGTTACATTACCTTCAAATATGAAAGGAAGCACCATGTGTGCGTTAATCTGAATCATTTCAACAAAATTTATTAAGCATTTTGTACTTAAAGTGCTAGGATTACAAAAACAAACAGATTATAGCCTCTGACATCGGGAGGCTCCCATGCCAGTAAACAGGTACTTGAGCCATTAGTTTTTAGATAACTGTAGTAGTGAATGTTCTAAGAACCATAGAACATAAAAGAAAGAAAATAATTTTAATTTTCTTAATGATGAGGAATAAATATTAGAAAGTCACCAATTTCCAAGGGTAGTAAATGCTTTTAAGCGCTGAAAAAGATTGTCACAGCTTTACTCTTCAGCCTGACTTACCGTAGTCAGTACATGACAGAATACTTGGCAAGAGCTACAACATGTTGCAGAGATTCATGAGGGGACTTGTCCCTAAGGCAGTGTGGGAACGCAGGTGAGGCTGCCTGCGAATCTACAAACAGCAGCTGAAGCCCATCACTCCACCATCAGCAATGAACAGTTTTTTGGCGCATGGCAGGTATAAAACACCATGCTTGGGGCTCTGGGAAGTACCAAGGTGTGTAGTTCTTGCTCGTTGGAAGTTCCAAATCCAGATGGGGAGATAAGACACTTCATGTTTAATGACTTTTTAGATGGTAAGTCATAAGAAGAAACCTAACCAAATTTGACTGATGTTTCCATATGGCCCACAGAAAAGGGAAAGGAAACTTTAATGCCTAAAGAAAGGTCTTAGAATAATTTATCCAGGTTCTGAGTGTCTAAACTGTAATTTAGAAATGTAAATGAAATTGCATATATTGAGCTTTTTATACGCAGCTTTGGGTATAGGAGACAATTAGTACACTTTAAGCATTATTTTGGGTTGGGATCATGTTACAGGTACAAATATATCAAGAAAAATTATTCCATTTTTTAGTTTTTAATTTGTGTTTTTTGCCCCCTTTAGGTCAAGAAGTGGTTTTCAAGTGCCTTGGGGAAGGAATTCTTGAAAAAGCCTTTCAGGGGTATAATGCTTGTATTTTTGCATATGGACAAACAGGTAAGAAGTTGATTTTATTTATAGTCAATGATATTAAATATACATTCTGCATTCTTCTCTCCCACCTTTGGGGCCACAGTGGTTTTCTTTTTGTTGTTTGGTTTTTTTGAGACAGAGTCTTACTCTGTTGCCTAGGCTAGAGTGCCACGGGTGTCAGCCTAGCTTATGGCAACCTCAACTCTTTTTTTTTTTGGCAACCTCAAACTCTTGTGTTCAAGTGATCCTCCTGCCTCAGCCTCCCCAGTAACTGGGACTATAGGCACCTGCCTCAACACCTGGCTAATTTTTTTCTATTTTTATTTTATTTATTTTTTAGCGACAAAGTCTCACTTTGCAGCCCTCAGTAGAGTGCTGTTACATCACAGCTCACAGCAACCTCCAGCTCTTGGGCTTAGGCGATTCTCTTGCCTCAGCCTCCCACATATCTGGGACTACAGGCACCTGCCACAATGCCTGGCTATTTTTTTTGTTGCAGTTTGGCTGGGGCCAGGTTCAAACCCACCGCCATTGGTATATGGGGCTGGCACCCTACTCACTGGGCCACAGGTGCTGCCCTTTTTTTTCTATTTTTAGTAGAGATGGCATCTGGTTCTTGCTAGGCTGGTCTCAAACTCCTGAGCTAAAGGAATCCTCCAACTCGGCCTCCCAGAGTGCTAGGATTACAGGCATGAGGCACTATTACAGGCATGAGGCCAAAATATGCATTTCTTAAAACTTAAAAAGAGAAAATATTTGAGAAGCAGCCGAAAAATGCTTCTGACAGGGTGTATGAATTAGATGATCAAAAGAAACTCTCTTTTTGAAGGTGCATGAGTTTTGGTAATTGAGTAATTTCAGTATAAATAAGCAAAGCTAGTTTAAAACTATTAACTGTTATTTTCCTATGTAAATGTTTTAACCTGTCTTTGAACTGGAATACTTCCCATTTCTCAGCTATAGTATGCTAAAAACTATAGAAAAGCACATAGTATCATCCTATACTGAGGCCTTATATCAGAATGCAAAGTGATGATAGATTGTTAAATCTAGGCTTCTGAAGTAGTTGGTTGAAATAAGCAAAACAAAAACATATTAGTGGCTCAGCTGTTAACACTCTGAACCACTGTTTTTTCAACTATAAGGCAGAAATAAATAAATCATAAAAGTGCTAATACCACAGCGCAGCAGAACTAGGAGACTCAGATAAGAGAATAGGTTTAATGTATACCACAGTAAGATGACGTTGCTTGATAATGTACGGTTGGGATTTTACCCTGCATAGTTTTAGAGATTATGTATTTTTCATGGTTGCATTCATACACATTCATCTGTAAATGAAGTGCTCCTCCACCTAGAGGCCTTGAGTGTCCTGGAAAGCACTGTAGCTTTGGCGTCCCAGGCTGTATCTGAGGGCTGAGTTTGAGGCTACATTTGCCACTCTTTTGCTTTGTGACCTTGGCTGATATCTACATTTCGCTTCCCCTTCTATTACTTGCCTCTTTTTGTTGCTCTTCTCCAGGTTCAGGAAAATCCTTCTCCATGATGGGCCATGCTGAGCAGCTAGGCCTTATTCCAAGGCTCTGCTGTGCTTTATTTAAAAGGATCTCTTTGGAGCAAAATGAGTCACAGACCTTTAAAGTCGAAGTGTCCTATATGGAAATTTATAATGAGAAAGTTCGAGATCTTTTAGACCCAAAAGGGTAAGTTAGTGACGGAAATTAAGCTTGTAAATAATATGGGGTAATAATTTTAAATGATTCTGAAGTTGAAATTGTAGTGAATGTATGTATTTGATCTGTTGGTCTTTAGTCTGGTTTGAGTTCATTGACTAAGCAAGCATCAGCTTCTCTAAGGTATTGGTATAACCAGCGTATATGCAGTTTATTCTACGTTCATGTACAAAGCGTCTTACGTTGAAAAGATGTTTTTACCATTGATGTTATTTTTTGCCATCCTGAACTATTCATAAAAATTAAGTCACGAATAACACAATGGTTCTTCCGTTTATATTGAGAAGCAGCACCTCTTTGTTGAAGGTAAAATGGTTAAGGGATTGAAGTAAGTCATCCTAGGCAAAATAGTTCAATTGCCTGGTTGGGGATTGGAGTCAAGTGGGGAACTTTTTAAGGATCCACTACAGTGACTATTGAAAGCCCAGCCACAGGGTGGCGTCTGTGGCTCAAAGGAGTAGAGCTCTAGCACATGGGGCGGGTTCAAACCCAGCCCTGCCCAAAAACTGCAAAAAAAAAAAAGAAAGCCCAGCCACAGAGACTAATTCAGTAGACCCAAGGTGAAACCCAGGCAACTGTTTTTTTTTTTTTAAAAACTAGGTAATAATGACTAGATGAGTTTGATTCATAGCGTAAGTAGGGCCATTCACTTTTCTTTCAGTTAAAAAAATTCTGTGCCAATTTAAAAATAATTGTATTTATAGAAAATAGGGAAGTGTAAGAAGAAATAAAAATGAGCTATAATCTTGCTATTTAAAAATTACCTTTGTTAAAAATTTGGTGCATTTTGATTCTGTTTCAGATCTACATGTATGTGCATTTTGAGGTCATCCTCTAAAAATATTTACCATCTTGAATTTTTCACGTAATATAATAAATGCTTTCTCTTGTCATTAAAAATTATTTTAAAATTGTTTTAGCAGGCTGGGTGCCAGTAACTCAGTGGTTAGGACGCTGGCCACATACACCAGGGCTGGTGGGTTCAAGCCTGGCTGGGCCCTGCTAAACAGGCCTACTAAACAACAATGACAACTATAACATAGCTGGGCATTGTGGCAGGCACCTATAGTCCCAGCTACTTGGGAGACTAAGGCAAGAGAATCACTTAAGCCCAAGAGTTTGAGGTTGCTGTGAGCTGTGACGCCACAGCACTCTACCCAGGGCAACATGAGACTGTCTCAAAAAAAAAAATTATTTTAGCAGCTATGTAATAGTCCATAGATCTTAGATGAAATCAGGGGAATATGATCAAAACTGTGGGTGGCAAAGAAGAAGCCCAGTCATAGGAGATGTTTATATTTACTTTAAGAAGCTATTAACTATTTAATGCATAGAGAAGCACATTTATAATACCTGTAAAGGATAAAGAATGATGAAATCAACAAGTGCCTACTTAACACTTGGCTTAGTAAATGGAACATGACCAGTATTTTTGAAGCTCCCTTCAAAATGAAAGAGTATGTTCCTTTTGTATCCCAGTCCATTCCCTACCCTTTCCAAGGTAACTGCTCCTATGAATTCTGTGTTTGTCATTCTCTTCCTCCTTCGTGGCATTTATACTTAATTTTGCACAATTTTTAACTTTGTGTGTCGTTACAATAGACGTGTCCTTTGGTGCTTTGCTTTCTCCCTCCCCCAATGATTGATTTATTCTTATTTCTGAAGTACTAAAGCATTGGTTTTTACTGCTATTTTGGCATCCATTGTATGATTATACCAAGGTATATATACCAAGGTATATATAGGAAGTTTTAAGACAGACTGTGTTATAGTTCAGTATTTCACTTTGGAGAAACATAGTCAATAGCATCCTTTCTGACTTACCTGTGCAAGTTTCAATTTGCTCGGCTGATCAGAGCTGTTAGGAGGGCTGCATTTGTTTCTGTCCTTGCAAATTTTATGTTTCCTGATTTTTGTGTATCTCAAAACTTACATAATGACCCATGTATCATAATTTATCCCTTCCCTTGTTATTGGTGTAGTTTCTGCTTTTTATCATTACCACACAACTCTGAAAATTCTTACACAGGTTTTTCAGTGTATAGTTGCAGGAAAGGGAATAAAACAAGGAATGGAATTGTGAGTCACATGATAGTAAATCTCCAGCTTTATCAAATATGAGTGCAAACTATTTTCCAAAGTGGTTGTACCAGTTGCATTCTCACTTGGTATTATGCTGGATTTACTTCTTGCTACTGAATAGCATTGCAGAACCTCTGGTTGTGCAAACAGAGCCGAGCTAAACACTGGATCATGTGCATAAACATAGCTCTCTTGAGGGCGTGCACTGTAGCTTGCCCTGTTTAAAGTACTACAGACTTGCTCATTGACACATTGAATTCTTCATCCTTAAAGTTAGAAAAACCTACTTTGAAGGGGTATTGTGAGATTAAATGGGAAAACTGCTTAGGGAACAAAGCTATGACATTGGAAAGCACTCAGTGATTCTTTCTTTGTTTTTTTCCACTGGAGTAATGCCAACCATTGATTCTTAATTCAAAAAATGACCATACAATATGGTCAAAATTTATATGGCCTTGCTTTTTGTCTCAATTATTGGCTGATAAGCTCTTCAAATAGGTTCCAAACCAGGTTTCTCATTTAAAGATTCAAAAGAGGGCCTGACAGTGGCTCACACCTATAATCCTAGCATTTTGGGAGGCCAAGGTGGGAGGATC